GCCCACCTCCCGGTCGGGCCCCAGCCCCGCGCGGCTGAGCACTGAGCTCTCCGATCCGCAGGAGGCGGCTCCCTCCTCGGCAGAGGTAGGTAATTACGCTCTTAATCACTACCTCGGTTCCTCTCCGCACGCGGAGGGAGGCGGCGCCCCAGCCGGGCCTGGTTTGAGATGTTCGCAGCGGCGGAGACAGTCTGTCATCAAATGTCGGGAAATAGCTGTCAGATCTCACCCATCGCTTCCCAGCCCTCAGAGCCCTCCCCGCGCGGGTGTAGGTGCTGTGCACTGAGCAATCCTGAGCTCCGTCGGGACCCAGGGCGCACGCGGTGGGGGTTCCAGCTCCCGCTCCGCCATGTGGCCCCTCCCAGGGTCCCCTCGCTGGGATGAGGCTGAGTCCCCCACGCTGGGTCTCCTGCTGACCCGAGACCGAGGTCTGCGGAGTGCCGGCGACCCCCCACCCAGTCGGGCTCCTACCTTGAGCTCAGGAGGTGGGGGCTGGCGTGGAGAGGGACTAGCAGAGCGACTGAGGCTGCTGTTGTGGCGGAAGGCACCACTGGGTGGAGGCGGGTGTGAGGTGGGGTGGGGCTGGGAGCCAAGGGAGGTCTGTAAACAGGGCAGGCGGGGGTCAGAAAGATGCCTCTTTGAGCCAGGCATGTGGGCCACAGCTGTGATCCCAGCACCCAGGAGGCTGAGGCAAGGAGGATCACTGGCTGACAGAGGCCAGCCTGGGCTACACAGTGAGACTGTCTCAATCAATGAGGATTTTAAAAAGACGTCTTGAACTTGTTGGGGGATGGACAGAGGCCAGCAGACCCGTCCCCTGTGGCCTTCCCCGGCTCCCTACCCCTTCGCATTCAGCAGTTGACTGTGTGACTTCAGAGTGTCTGCTTGCTGGTCTGTAAAATGGGGTGTGTGTTTCCTCTTACGACAGACTGAGAGGCTTCAAATCACAAATCCATTATTTTACAAGTCCTGAAAAGATCTTTGCGGGCTCTAGAAGAGAATGTTTCCCTGCAGTGTACCCCTGTAATCCCAGCACTTGGGAGGCTGAGGCAGGAGGACTGGCACAAGTTCGAGGCCAGCCTGGGCTATATAGTGAGACCCTGTCTCAAAAAACAAAACAAAACAAAAATAAATTGAAAATATATTTTAAAAACTAAGGGTGCCCGCATGGACATCACTGTGTGCCACCGTCCGCAGCTTGCTCGTGGAGCCCTGGGCCGAGCCACGCACCTCTGATCAGCAGAGCCAGGGCTTTGCATGGTCCGTTTGCTGGGTTTGGGCCCCCCCATTCCTCCTGTCTGGCTCTGTCAGCAGCCCCGGCAAACACAGGGCAAAGCCTCTCATGGTCCTAGCCCCTGTGCTGGGAGACACTGAGGACACAACAGGAGTTGGTCCTGGGCTGTTCAGGGGACAAATAGGGTGTCAGAGAGAGGAAAAGAGGTTGAAGAAGAGCTGTTCCTGGAAAAATCAGAGAGTGTCTCAGAGGAGGGGACTTGTGAGTTGGGTACTGATGTATGAATAGGAGTTCCCAGGACATAAGAGGAATACATTCATTCACTGATTTGTACACGAGCACGTGCTGGGCTTGTGAAGTTTGGTTGTGATCATCTGTTCATTCATTCATTCCCCCACGGGTTTGATGGGGAGTGGCATGTGTGAGAGTCACCTTGAGCCAGCTGCTCTCTGTCCTGTTAATTCGCAGTAGAGACCCAGTCCCTGCCCCAGTGTAGCTCAGACGCGCTGTGTACAAGGAAGGGGACGCCTGATCCAGCCCGGAGGGGTGAGTGGCAGCCACAGCCTGGCTTCCCCAGAAGGGGGACTCAATGGGGTTTTGAAGGATGAGTAGGGGTTTTCTGTATGCAGTAAGGGGACAAAGTAAGGTGCACCCGGATGAGAAGACAGCAAGGACAAAGGCTGGGTGAGCTGTGAGCAGCGGAAGGGAAGCGGCGAGCTGGAGCCGGACAGCGGGTGGGCTGCAAGCGTGACTGGGGGGCTTGGGACTCACCCTGTGGGCCTCCGTCCAGAGTGGGAGGCTGACGCTCGGCCCCGGTCAGGCCGCCGGGACCAGGGTGCCATCTGCTGGGGAGC